ATATATATATATATATATATATATATATATATATATATATATACGTTATATATATATATGCGTATATATATATATACGTTTTCCTGTTCAGCAACTGCTGGTTTGTTAGAGCATAGATTTACTTCAATAGAAAGACACACAATACAACAACGTCCGGTGGTATTTCAACTATCGCTACCGATTCCTCTAGAACTGCCCTTATAAGTATATATGTACATATTATGAACAAGACAATAGAGCAAAGTCTGTTGTACAACTCGGTTGGTTCCTAATCCTTAAATCCTCAAATATTCTAGTGATCTAGAAGTCGACGTCAGTTCTTGAAAAACTGACTTTGGGTTTTATAGGTCAAATGAAGCGACCCCAAGCAGTAAATCCAGAATTTCTGGTTGTCCATAGCCAGTCAGTTATAAGCACTTTTTACTACATCACCACTTTCCCTTATATTCAAATTTATTGTCGAAAGTTCAGCGTAATAATTCTAGCAAAAAACAAAGAGCATGCTTGCAGTCGTTGTGGCATCAGTTGTTGCAGTATCGCTGTAGCGATTACAAAGGGATCATTTAATAGAAGCTAATGATGTTCACACTTTCAGAGTTATCAAATAAGCAAAAAGTACGTCCATGGTGTTCGGTACGCATTCGATTGGTTGAGAATCAGGCAAGGAGAATCAAAGAGTTCTTCAAAAAGAGTTAAAGACAGTTTCAAGTGCGTCTTCGTATTCTTCTTGAGCAAACGCGAGGTGTTATTTTTATTCTTTACTCACGAATAAGCTGTTTCGGCGGATTTCCTCTTCCTCAGAGCCTGGAAAGGTCAAGTTGACAGCAATCTACTCGGCCAAACACCTCCACAATCAAAGAAGACGCTAAACCAAGATTTCAATCACATTGAACATAGCTTTGCACACTCACCGCTTTCTATGAGGCTTCCACTATGTCGCGTGAAGACCAACCGTGCAGAATTCACATGGAGGCGTAATGTGCCCCTCCCATCAGGATAGCAGTCTTATACACTGCCCAATATCACGCGTGATAATGAGGCATTCTTCCCTGCGGTTCGTTTTCGGGTTACTGGAATTAATCCAGAACGCCTCGAGAGTATTGCACGCTTGTGTCCTCGATTCTTGTGCGAGGATCGTGACACGTACTTCAAAGTTCTCTCCGTTATGTCTCTGGGTCCTATGCGTGCCTAGTGGGGTATTTGGTTGACGTTTGCCGGCTAGGTGTTCTTTTATGCGGACACAGAGGGGTCTGCCTGTTTCGCCAATGTATTCGTCTCCGCACGCCTCACAAGAGATCAGATAGACTGTACCCGAACTCATGCAGTCACCGTCTCTACCATTGGGGCAAATTATGCAATTTTGCGTTGCACATAGACGGTCATATAGGCGGTTACGAACTAGCTGGCGCCTAAGATTACTCAGTGGCATTTAAACCACATTTACTGAATTCTCTAAACCCGCCCTTCTTAAGCAGCGTTTTATAGGTGCACTTACTTCATTTGAAATGAAAGGCAGTATAAACAGGACCTTATTGTCGCCAGAGTTATCGTTGGGGCACCTTTGGTTTTCCCTACACCTATCTCGAGGTACAGTTTCGTAGCCATTAAAAATGGCTATTTGCTGCGCTAAGTTCCGAGACTCCTCTCTCTGCTGTCATCCTGTGCACATGCTGGTAGCTGTTCGAAACATGTTTTTCACAAGCGCCCTTTTCGTGTGAGAGTGGTGAGAGGAGAGGTAATGAACCAAGATATTTTTACTACTTGGCTTTCGATGCCATTTCGTAATGTAGCCGTTTTCTGATAGTTCGGTGACTGCATGAGTTCAGGTGCAGTCTATCTGATCTCCTGTAAGGCGTGCTGAGGCGAATACATTGGCGAAACGGGTAGACCACTCTGCGTGCGTATAAAAGAACACCTAGTCGGCAAACGTAAACCAAATACTCCACTAAGCACGCATAGGACGCAGAGACATAACGGAGAAGATTTTGAAGTAGTAGTTACGGTACTCGCGCAAGAATCGAGAACACAAGAGCGCAAAACTCTAGTGGCATTCTGGATTAATTCCAAGAATCCGAAAATGAACCGCAGGGTAGGATGCCTCATTATCACGCATGATATTGGGCAGTATATAAGGCATTTATTTTGATGAGATGGGCACAATACGATTCTGTGTGAACTCTGTGCGGCTGGTCTCCTCGTAACATATTTAGTGGAAAACTCATAGAAAGCGGTGCGTGTGCAAAGACTCTGCGTTCAATGTGATTGAAATTTTGGTTCAGGATTTTCTCTGTTTGGTTATGGAGGTGTTTGGCCGTGTACATTGTAGTCAACCTAACCTTTCCAGTTCTGAGAAAGGCGAAATCCGCCGAAACGTCAGCTTGTACGTAGATAAAGAAATAAAATAACACCTCGCGTTTGCTGAACAGAAGTAGAAAGAATTGTTCAATTAATGCCAAGGTTAATAGAAAGTCGGACGTAGAAGTTATTAACTTATGGGTTTTGATAAGTAAATACAGGATGAGACATGTTGGTAGGTCAACTTGCTCAGCAGGAATACGAAGAATTACTTGATCAGTGCTGAGGTTAATGGAAAGTCGGTCGTGGGAGTTGCAAATGCTTTAGGTAGTTCTGACACACCATGGTCATTCGTCTCACCCATTATCATTGAATATATTTTCACTGAAGAAAGAGATTATTGCATGCCTACTCAGCCTTAAGTTCTTCTTAGATCATGCAGGCTAAATGACTCGTCATTTGACGAAGTCGAGACTACATTCTCTAACGCTCCTTGCTTCCTTTTTCTTGTTTGCAGAAAAGAACGCGAGTCTTTCGAGCCAAGTTTCAATGATTTTTCTTCCATGGAAGTAATTTAATATCAGAGAATAAGAAGATAAACTGTCAAGAAGAAATCTGAAATGTCTGTTCCATATTAGTGGGATTATCTCACCAACTAATTTGCGATTTGTTTCGGTGACAAGAAACTTAGCCACCTTGATGCAGCGATGTTTACCTGAAACGCTCTTACAAAAGTCATATACATCTTCATTAACAATGCATCGTTTAACAAAACTCCTTTCGCTATGTACAGTTGTACTTATACGCTGGCCAGAACTGGGCAATAAGTAGAATGGGAGACTTCCGAAATATTAACTTACATTGTTCTAAACGAGGTATATTTCCTAGTCAAACATAGCCTAACTAAAGACCACGGTTCTTAACCTTTTTTTCCTTTTTTTTTACTGGGCCTATTTGACGTTCACCACATTTGTGCAGTGTCAGACAGCTTAACCACTCATGCGGTAACCGTGCTTGGATGCTAGTTTTGTTCTACAGAAGCATTTTCCAGCAGGTTATATACACTTCGCCGTCATATCCGTGTTCCTATCGGTTTCTATGATAAAAGAATGCTATAACGACAGTTTAGAAGGAAATATATTTTTAAAACGTTTTTATTTTCAATGTTTTTCATCAATAAGCAGACACGAGGTTGTTAATATAGAATTTATTAGAACACAATTGCTGACGTTTCGGCGGTTTCGCCTTCTTCAGAGCCTGGAAAGGTCAAATTGAGATGCGATCTACTCAGCCAAACACTTTCATAACCCTAGCAGATAAAACTTGATAAATCGATTTGTATTCGCATAAGAAACAGCTTCATTCAAACACCTACCGTTTATTTGTCGTAAGTATTT